GGCCTGTGGCTGCGCAGGGGGCGTGAACCCCCCCCGGCTGCGGGGGCCCCCGCCGGAGCGGGGCTAAAATGTATACTTTTGAGATGTTTTTGAAATAGTATATAACACATCAAAAAGAAAGTATTCTTCTAAATAGGTTTAATTGAATCATTTTTCATTTCAAAATCATTTTTAACATGTTCTCCCACTAAACAGTTACCTATTTTCATTACAATGAAACTTTAGAAAATATATAAAAATATGAAGAAGCAAATAAATATAAGTAGTTCTTCTAACGAGTAATGACTACCTGTAATACTTTGTTGTTTTCTTCTGGGCTTCATTCTAGATTAATTTATAAAATTGATTTTGTGATTGTTTTTTTCTCCACAAAAGTTGGATTATATTATATAAGCAGCTTTATATCCCGTTTTTATTGCTTGATGTTATTTGGGGAGTATTTTTTGTTACTCATTTTAATGGTTGGATCCTTTTCTGGATCGCCTTAGATTTTTTTATTTGTTAAGGAAAAAAAATCATAGGCTGCCAAAGTGATGTGGGATGGTGATAATCTGTGATTTTGAAGGAATTGGCTAATTTTTCTGTGACACAGTCATGTTAAGCTTAAGTCAGTATGGATTTTTTTTTTTTCTTTTTGAAGAGGTTTTTGCTATAGGGTGCATGCGCTCGCTGGACAGAGAGAGACAGAGAGACAGAAAGTGAAAAATCCCCCCCCCCCCGGGGGGGATGGCCATGCCGCAATCCCTTCTCCTCCATTCTCCTCTCGGGATCTTGGGCATGTGCGCACATGCGCCCAGCGTGAGTTTTAAGCTGCTTTGTCCGGGACTCGAACCACTGTCGACTACATGGGAGTCCATCGACATAGCCATTACGCTAACTGCTGGTCCCAGTATGGATTTTTAAAAAGCCTCTCATCTATATTGTCCTGTTATAATCACTTCTTTCTTAGTTATTTAAGGTTTTTTTCTTTATTTATTTCACGAGAAAGAGAGAGAAGAGACATAGTAACCCTATTAAAGTCTTAACACCATGATCCACCCTCAGCTCTCAGCCAGCCTCAGATTATGGGCAGTCTTATGCCCTGGCTACTCAGGGAAGTCTCCAGACTTGAACTGAGAAACTTCCTATATGGCATTGCCTTGTAGAGCACCATGTTTTACTCCTGTGCCACTGTTTAACCCCCATTGTTTCTTATTTTGAAATTGTTTACTCTTTTTTTAGTTTCTGTTTTCAAAGAATTATTTTATTCAACTTTATTTCATAGTAGTAGTAGTGGTGGTGGTAGTATTTTAATTTGACCAGAGAAAAAGAGACAGAGAGAGGGAAAGTGAGAAAGCAAGCCACCAGGTCAAAGACTCAACCTACAATCAGCCAGGTGGGAGTCCAGTGCCTTTAACCACCACGCCACCTGCCAGCACCTTGTTTACTATTAAATGAACATAAAATTAAGTAATTCACCATCCTTTATGAAGAGCTTGTCAGTTGAAAGATGAATAAAAGTTTACTGGCATAAAAGAATAGAGGACTATATCTTTTCTCTAGTTAAGATTCCTTTTCAGTGTACTGATATTGTGCAGGATTGAATTTACTCAAATTTCTCCAAACCGAATATTTTAAATGTGTGAAGCAACTTTAACATTTAATAGAACTCTTATGATTAGTACAAAATCACTGATGCTTAATTATAGCACATTTTGCTGTCTTAATATATACATTAAGAACATGCCAACATTGTATAATTGTTCTATACAATTTTACAGAGGTATCAAAAGCTTAATTTTACCTTCTTTTCAAATGAAATCTTTAGATTTTAAACTAATCCACATCTATTTTCTTTTCACTTCATTTAGAGTTTATATTGTGTTTAATTAAAAAAAAATGTGTTCCTGAGAATATAGTTTGTATTCCCCATTGGAATATTTACCACATTGCCAATTCTGTAGCTTTTGAAAGCATCACACACACAAAAATAATAATAGTGAACACTATCTTAAAGAAAGTAATTACTGGCTTTATATGTTATGTCTTTCCCAAATACTTTTGTTCTAGTCATTTCAATAGGGGCATAGGAATGCAGGTCTTACATGAAGTCCACAGGGTGTTGTATTTCCCCCTTGTGGTTTTTTGGCTCTAATTTTTCTACCTGTAAGGTGTAGTCTTTTACATCTTTATTATCGTCATGGTCTGTAAAATATTTGTTAACACCTAAATCTGATCTTTTAGCATTTTGTGTATCAGTTACTGCTATAGCAAGTTATAGCATTTTATTTTTTGAGCACTGATACTCTATTTCAGATATAGATCAATAAGTTAACTGCTCTAGAAAGTGCTGATTAATTTATTTGAAAAAGATTTCGATTTCTTTTTTATGTTGATAAGAAAAGGACTATTTCTCATCACTGATATTACCACTTTCAATTTTTGTATGTTTTCATATATATTTGTTTATTTTCTGGATTTCAGTTTGAAGCTGGCAGTATGAAAAACCTGGTACTGGTGTACACTTAAGCATGCATTTGAAGCTGGCAGTATGAAAAACCTGGTACTGAAGATAATATCCGGATCTTTCCCACCTGTGTCTTTGCATTATTCCTATGATCTCCGCAGTCTGCTCTCTCAGTTATTTAAAAGAAATCCTAGGGATAGACCATCAGTCAACTCCATATTGGAGAAAGGTTTTATAGCCAAACGCATTGAAAAATTTCTCTCACCTCAGGTATGTATTTTTACTTAAAATTAAAGAGTGGGCTTATGTTTCTTAACTAATGCATGCCCTCTGTTATTGAGGAGACCACATCAGAGTCTTGAGGGGTTGAGGTTCCTTGCTCAAGCTGTATTGGCATCGCTTTCCTTTCCGTAGCTTTTTTCTTCCTTTCTTTCCAGTTGTGCAACGTTTCCTTTCAGTTTCTGACTATAAAATTATTAAACCTTTCTGTGTTTCACTATTCTTACCTGTGAGCAATGATACATATAAATATATATCATAAGGTTGTTAGGAGAATTACAAGTGATAATGCACATCAAGTGCTTAATGTCTAACACATGAGTGCTTGACATATTCAGTATATAGTAAATATTATCAACACGTCCATTTATTATACTAATATAAATACATTATCTATGTAACTTATGATTATAAAATGGTATGCTATTTGATAGAGAATGATTGGAAGTTGTTCTTATGGACAGTGATACGTATGTATACTAGGTCATCGACTCATCGTTATCCTCCAGTGCTCTCATATAGGTGCATAGTTCAGTATTTGTTAAGTTTTAATTTGACAGCTGTTATAAAGCAATTTATTAAGTTGTCAGAAAAGTCATAACGTATTTTTTCTATGTATAAGTTATTCATAAAAATGTGATCACCTGAAATGGGAATTATTTTACTTTTCATACTTAGTGTGGTCTTTTTAAAATCAGTATTAAACTATTCTGTAAATAAGATATCTAGCAAAATGGCAGTTTCATTACTTTTTTTTTTTTTGAGAGGTTTTCGTTATAGGACGCGTGCACTCGCCAGACAGACAGAGAGAGACAGAGAAACAGAAAGCGAGAAATCACCCCCCACGGGGGATGGCCATGCCACAATCCCTTCTCCTCCATTCTCCTCTCGGGATCTTGGGCACGCATGCACACGCGCCCAGCGTGAGTTTAAGCCACCGGGTCTGGGACGCAAACCGTGGTCGACTATGTGGGAGTCCAGCGACATAGCCATTACACTAACTGCTGGTCCCACAGTTTCATTACTTTTATATTTTTGTAGGAAGATAAGGAAGTATCATATATCCTGGTTTATTAAGAGGACATTCTTGGGGTTGGCAAGTAGGGTGGTGATTAAGGTGCTGACTGCTTCATGGCTGACTATTGTTCAAATCCCAGACCTGGTGGCTTGCTTTCTTACTTTCCCTTTCTCTTTCTCTCTCTCTTGCTTTCTGGTCAAAGTAAAAAATAATAATACATAAAGTAAATTTTTTTTTAAAAGAGAGGGCATTCTTATGAATAAATTCACTTCAAAAAACAGAGAAATGTATTTAACTATTACTGTTAGGAAAATGCTTTAGTAAGCAAGAAAGCGTACTAATATTTGGAAGTTAAACATTGGGCTGTGGCATGATGGTTGGGGTGGCCAGATCCTACAAGGCCATCCATATTGTTTGAGTCCCAGACTCAGTGACTTGGGCACATGTGCATCCCCAGAATCCTGAAAGGAGGGAAAAAATGGAGAAGGGATTGCAGGGTAACCATTCCTAATAAGGGGTGCTTTCTCACTTTCTCTCTATTCTCTGTCTCTCTCTGTGTCTTTAGTGAGTAAACATGCCTTCTGGCAAAGTAAAGAGAGAGAGAGAGTGAAAGAAAAAAAGGTTTACTTGTGTAGGACATAGCAACAACCTCTGAAATGTGGGTATCTTCTAAGACTCCTTTGTTATAAAAAAACATTTGCAAGGGCAGTTTTATATACAGTATGCTGTTGTTTACTTGGCAGCTACTGGAGAACAATGACATCAGTTATTCTTGCTGAGGTTTCTTTCCCCCAAAACCAGCAGTTAGCATCCAGTCTCAAGGCTGAAGCACTGGAATTCACCTAGCTAGCAATGAGAAAATATTCAAGCTTGAACTATGCAAAACTTATCCCATAGAAAGAAAGGCAGGCTTTGATTTTTGAAACAGTTGGAATATTTATCATCACATGTTTAGTATATACGTAGACACTCCTTTTTGGTATTTAAGCATTGTTTGGATTTCATTCTTTAGTAAAAATCTTTATCTTTTGTTTGTCAGATTTATTTTCTATAATATATCATTTTTGTTCAGTATTCAAGTGAAGAGGTTTGAGATACATTTTTTAAGAGGGATTTTTTGCCATAGGGCAAAAATCTCTCTGTCTCTCTGTGCTTGCCAGAGAGACAGAGAGACAGAAAGCAATAAATCTACCTCCAGGGAGCATGGCCATACCACAGTCTCTTCTCCTCTGTTCTCCTCTTGGGCATGCACACCGTGCCAGCCTGAGTTTTAAGCTGCTGGGTCCAGGACCCGACCATGTTTGACTACATGAGTGTTCAGTGATATAACCATTATGCCATTTGCTGGTCTCAGAGATACATTTTTTAAGGCTATAACTTTGATACAGTTTATAAGCTTTACTGCAACATACAGACTATTATTTTCAATATCATTTTATACTCTGTTTTTTTTTTTTTTAGTTTACTTAGTTTTCTTCTTTTTTTTTTTTAATTTGCCAGAGAGCACACGTGCTTGCCAGGGAATGGGAGAAAGCATCCTCCAATGGAGCATGGACATGTCACAATCCCTTCTCCATTTCTCCATCCCGTAAGGATTTGGGGCACACATGCACACCTGCCTAGTGTGTTTTTCAAGCCCTCAGGGCAGTTGGCCATGTGTAATCTGGCTCCCTTCACCGAGCACAGGGCCAGTGCCAATTTTTATTTTAATACTTATATTTTCTCAGTGCCATCAGCCAGAGTTAATAGGGCCTGTCCTCAGTCTTACGTACCCTCGCAACAGCATTGCTGAATGTGGCTTGACGAGTGATGGATGAACTCTGACTCATGAATATAGGTGCTGTCCACTGGCCTACTCTGTGATGACTGAAGTGTTCTTCTGCCTTGTTCATTATTGTAGCCTCCATCGGTTATTGAGCACTTGAAATGCGGCTAGTGTGACTGAGAAGCTGATTATATATATATATAAATATTATTATATTTATTTTAAATTTAAATAGCTACATAAATGAGTAGTGGCCACTGTATGAGATAGCACAGTATAGGGATTCCAGGCTCATCTTGGATCTTACATGCCCCATCGCTCAATCATGTGAGCATTCACACAGGAGAAAAGAAAAACTCACACTCAAAGGGGGAAATTGTCTAATTTTCGGGGCAAGGTAGAAATTATAAAGCACCCATTTTCTTCCAGGGAAAAAATATAAATATTCAGAAGAAAAAACACATTCATATAGTTGACCTGAGCTGCCTGTTGGTCAGACTTTCACTTAAATTTTTCCTGTAATGCCATGGTTCTCAAACTTTAGCACATTTTAAAATCACTTGGAGGGCATCATCAGTTACCATCACCACATTGTTTCAGTAATTCTTAGGTCGAAGCCTGAGATTTTGCATATTTTATAAATTCCAGGTGATGTTGATACTGCTGATTTGAGAACTCATGAGAAAGACAACCAGTTAAGGTTTATTTTTTGTTTTATTTTGTTTTGATTTTGTTTTTGCCTATTGGGTGTCTGTTTCAGTATTATTGTAGGAATATTCTTTCCAACAGGCCTCAGTTCTCTTTCTTTTTTTTGAGGGGGGGCGGGGAGAGGTTTTTGCTATAGGGCGTGTGCGCTCGCCAGACAGAGAGAGACATAGAGACAGAAAGCAAGAAATCACTCCCCAGAGGGGATGGCCACGCCACAATCCCTTCTCCATTCTCCTCTCGGGATCTTGGGCACACATGCACACGTGCCCGACGTGAGTTTAAGCCACCGGGTCTAGGACTCAAACCGCGGTCAACTATGTGGGAGTCCAGCGACATAGCCATTACGCTAACTGCTGGTCCCATGACCTCAGTTCTCTTGAAAAAAGAGAAAATTCACTTTTCTTTCTCTCCCCAACCCAGTAAGGAAAATAAGAGCAACTTAAATTGAGTTAAATTTTTGTTGATATCATAGTTTTGTACTAAAGTGAAAAAAATGAAGTAAGGAAAGAAAATTACTTGTAGGAAATATAAACAATTTTCACTTCTCAAAAATACGTTTATAAATTCTGAAGAATAATGGAAAATTTATAGTAACATTAAAAAGAGACACTTGTGGGGATGGCAGGTGATATGTGGTATTGGCACTATACTCCCAGATGGCCAACTAGTTTGAGTTCCAGACCTGGTGGCTGGCTTTCACAATCCCCCCTTGCATCCCCCACCCCCATCACTCTTACTCTCTGGTGAGTCTATGTGCCCTGTAGCAAATTTTTAAAATAATAATAATAAACTAAATAATGTAATACTGCAATAGCCAATAAATGCTTATAGTTATAAGATGCTCAGAGGATTCAAAATAACGTTAAAATAACTAAAAGGTTGTTTGGAGAGAGTTCCTTACCATAACTAAATTATTCCTAGAAGTTTTGAAATAAATTAGGGATAAAGATTTACATAGACTATAGAGGTTAATTCATATATGTAATGTGTTAAATTGCAGAGATTTGAAATAGGCAAGTAATACAGGGGTCCTATGTGGCACATTAAATTAACTCGATTTTAAAAAGCCTGTCTGGAAGAAGACACCTTCATGGCTCCTGAGAACTAGCCATTTCAGGGGAAACAGAGAAATGAAGATTTTCTACTGATAATTCAGCCTTCAGCACACAAACTCAGTCCCCCTCCAACACACAAACTCGCGTGATAGGAAGACCCCTTTAAAGCCTCATGTCTCTGTATCTGTCTTTGACTCTCTCTACCCCTCTCTCTGTCTCTGTCTTCTCATGTTTTTGTAATTTTTCTTTTTAAAATTTTTTTTAAGGCAAAACATTTTCTGGGCTTTCTGGCCCCTCCTTTCCCTTTATCTTGTTAATAATTCCCTCTCTCCCTCCCAACCCAGGAGAGGCAAGGGAACAGGCCTTCTTGAAGACACCTTCCTGGCTCCTGAGAACTAGGCATTTCTTGCATGCCACAAAAGGCATAGAAAGCAACCATGGATACCAGAGACAATGTGGGAGGAGGATGGGACATGGCAGAGGGTGAGGGATAGGGAATCAAGGATGGCCAAAAAAAAAAAAAAAAGGCAAAATACACAGGAAACAAGAAATGGAAAATTATTTGTTGATAACACGTATGTTGATGTGCTTGATTGAGCCAATATACAGTGTATTCTGGATGAGAAATCTCATTTTGTATGCTATAATGATGTATAGTAAATGAATGTAAATAAATAAATTAAAAATAATAATAATAATAAGTTTTGTTACCAGAAAAAAAAAAAAACTTATCTGGAAAAATAATAAAAGTGAATTGGTGGGCCAACTGCAGGCATAGTGGTTAAGGCAGCTGGGATCCCATATGGCTGACCACTCTGTTGGAGTCCTAGACCCTGCAGCTTGAAAAAACATACCAGGCCCTGTGTGTGTGCATGCCCAAAAATCCCAAAAGGAGAGCAAAGTGTAGAAGGGATTGTGGTGTGATCATTCCCCAAGGGAGGCGGAGGGATGGGGATGATTTTTCACTTTCTCATCTTCCCTCTTCATTTCTCCCCCTGGGAAAAAAAGCACATGCACACTACCAATTTTTTTTTTTAGTAAAATAGAAAGGAATTCTCATGAAAGGAATTTGCTGAGTGGGATACTTGGTTTCAATTAGTGGTTTACTTGGCAAAATAATTACAATTTAAAAAGAAAAAAATAGATTCTAATTAATGCGTTTTTTTTTAATTTTCAAATTTTAACACTTTTTCTAACTTTTGTTTTCTCTTTCAATCTAAGCTTATTGCAGAAGAATTTTGTCTAAAAACATTTACAAAGTCTGGAGCACAGCCTGTACCAGGTAAATAAAATTTAATGTGGGGCCTTTCATCTTTTTGCAATAATCAAGCCTAATTATACTGGAACTATTTGTCCATGTAAGTTGGGATAATTGTAAGATAAATGTAATTCACAAAAAATGCACCTTCAAATTATATATAAGAGCTGACCTTTAGCACAGTCCTTAGGCACTGCCCAGAAGAAAGATCCCACATGGCCAACCAGGATTCAAATCCTGGCCACAGCAGCTTGAAAGACATGTGGACAGACATGCTCAGTGTCATGATGATTTAGAGAATCAGAGATGATCAAGCCCCGTTACTCCATGAGGGAGTATGTTCCTTCTCTCCTTCCCTCTCTCTCTGTCTTGTATGCATACTTAAAGGAAAAGAATGGTCATATATGGCAGTATACAACACTTTCTGACAAATTAATAACAGAATTTCCATGTTTTGTCTTAAATGATGTCTGATTTTAAAGCTCATATCTCCATGAAATGCTTAGCTAGTATTTTTTTTTTTTTTTTGAGAGGTTTTTTGCTATAGGGCACATGCGCTCGCCAGACAGAGACAGAAAGTGAGAAATCACCCCCCAGGGTGATGGTCACGCCGCAATCCCTTCTCCTCCATTCTCCTCTTGGGATCTTGGGCATGCGTGCACACGCACCCAGCGTGAGTTTTTTAAGCCACTAGGTCTGGGACATGAACCGCAGTAGACTACGTGGGAGTCCAGCAACATAGCCATTACGCTAACTGCTGGTTCCCCTTAGCTAGTATTTTGAGAACAGTGTTATAGAATGTTATAAAAATACTTATGTAAATTTTTTGAGAAATATTTTGTGTTCTAAAATTTTTGAAAAGTAAGTTACTGTGAAGCCAAGAACTTTATTAAGGATAGTTTTTTTGGTAAGTGGTGTGAGCCTTTGTAGGATTATGGCTGCAGTTACATACTATGTATAGGTATTTAATTTTACTTGTATAAGAGGAAATTTTTTTTGGATGCCATGATTTCAGAATGGATTTCTAAAATCAGTGCCAGTTATTGAGATGTGAAGAGTGCATGGTTTTTCAAACATAATGCTGTGCATGTTTTACTCATTTTGAGATTGGATAAATTAATAATAACAATAAATACAATATCATAAAAATAAGTCCTCATAGGCCGGAAGTAGTATGGCAGTGTGCTCTCAGGAAAGCCACCCGTACTTAAGTCTTTAAATTCTTAAATACCATAGACTTATCCTGCCATCATGCTGAGAAGTCAACTCACCTTCAGTAAAACTCACAGAAGGAAGTGGCTTCACAGTGTAACCTTTAAACACTGAGAATGTGACAACCACGGTTCGGACAACCAAGCTACCTCTTGCAGCTTGAAAAACATGCTGGGCACATGTACTTGTGTACCTAAAATCCTGATGGAATAGTGAAATGGAGAAAAGGAGATTGTGGCATGATCATGTCCCATTAAGAGTATTTCTCCCTCTGTCTCTCTGCCAAGTATTCATGCACTGTGGCATTTAAGTAATAATAATAATAACAAGAGACTGAGATGTACAGCAGAATCAACATGCTCTCTCCTGACAGTCAAGCCTCGTAAGAAGTCAAATCTTAAAAGCCTCATTGTCACAAAAACAAGCATCCAGTGTCAGCATATTCTTTCCACATGATAAGCCTACGTAGAAGTTATAAAGTTATTTGTTGTCAGGGGAGTGGTATTGCTGTGCTGGCCTATAAATATTTTGCAGGATGCAGCTCCTTACTTTAAGCTTTATGCTGCAATTAGCCTTGTCACTGACCCTGAGAAATGCTCAAAGACAGGGACCAGCAGATACTAGACTCCCATGTAGTTGACAGTGATTCGAGTCCTGGACCTGGTGGCTTAAACTCATGCCAGGCTTGTGTGCATGCGTGTCCAAGATCCTGAGAGGAGAATGGAGGAGAAGGAATTGCTGTGTGGCCTAGCACAGTCCTTAGGCACTGCCCAGAAGAAAGATCCCACATGGCCAACCAGGATTCAAATCCTGGCCACAGCAGCTTGAAAGACATGTGGACAGACATGCTCAGTGTCATGATGATTTAGAGAATCAGAGATGATCAAGCCCCGTTACTCCATGAGGGAGTATGTTCCTTCTCTCCTTCCCTCTCTCTCTGTCTTGTATGCATACTTAAAGGAAAAGAATGGTCATATATGGCAGTATACAACACTTTCTGACAAATTAATAACAGAATTTCCATGTTTTGTCTTAAATGATGTCTGATTTTAAAGCTCATATCTCCATGAAATGCTTAGCTAGTATTTTTTTTTTTTTTTTGAGAGGTTTTTTGCTATAGGGCACATGCGCTCGCCAGACAGAGACAGAAAGTGAGAAATCACCCCCCAGGGTGATGGTCACGCCGCAATCCCTTCTCCTCCATTCTCCTCTTGGGATCTTGGGCATGCGTGCACACGCACCCAGCGTGAGTTTTTTAAGCCACTAGGTCTGGGACATGAACCGCAGTAGACTACGTGGGAGTCCAGCAACATAGCCATTACGCTAACTGCTGGTTCCCCTTAGCTAGTATTTTGAGAACAGTGTTATAGAATGTTATAAAAATACTTATGTAAATTTTTTGAGAAATATTTTGTGTTCTAAAATTTTTGAAAAGTAAGTTACTGTGAAGCCAAGAACTTTATTAAGGATAGTTTTTTTGGTAAGTGGTGTGAGCCTTTGTAGGATTATGGCTGCAGTTACATACTATGTATAGGTATTTAATTTTACTTGTATAAGAGGAAATTTTTTTTGGATGCCATGATTTCAGAATGGATTTCTAAAATCAGTGCCAGTTATTGAGATGTGAAGAGTGCATGGTTTTTCAAACATAATGCTGTGCATGTTTTACTCATTTTGAGATTGGATAAATTAATAATAACAATAAATACAATATCATAAAAATAAGTCCTCATAGGCCGGAAGTAGTATGGCAGTGTGCTCTCAGGAAAGCCACCCGTACTTAAGTCTTTAAATTCTTAAATACCATAGACTTATCCTGCCATCATGCTGAGAAGTCAACTCACCTTCAGTAAAACTCACAGAAGGAAGTGGCTTCACAGTGTAACCTTTAAACACTGAGAATGTGACAACCACGGTTCGGACAACCAAGCTACCTCTTGCAGCTTGAAAAACATGCTGGGCACATGTACTTGTGTACCTAAAATCCTGATGGAATAGTGAAATGGAGAAAAGGAGATTGTGGCATGATCATGTCCCATTAAGAGTATTTCTCCCTCTGTCTCTCTGCCAAGTATTCATGCACTGTGGCATTTAAGTAATAATAATAATAACAAGAGACTGAGATGTACAGCAGAATCAACATGCTCTCTCCTGACAGTCAAGCCTCGTAAGAAGTCAAATCTTAAAAGCCTCATTGTCACAAAAACAAGCATCCAGTGTCAGCATATTCTTTCCACATGATAAGCCTACGTAGAAGTTATAAAGTTATTTGTTGTCAGGGGAGTGGTATTGCTGTGCTGGCCTATAAATATTTTGCAGGATGCAGCTCCTTACTTTAAGCTTTATGCTGCAATTAGCCTTGTCACTGACCCTGAGAAATGCTCAAAGACAGGGACCAGCAGATACTAGACTCCCATGTAGTTGACAGTGATTCGAGTCCTGGACCTGGTGGCTTAAACTCATGCCAGGCTTGTGTGCATGCGTGTCCAAGATCCTGAGAGGAGAATGGAGGAGAAGGAATTGCTGTGTGGCCATCCCGATTTCTCACTTTCTGTCTCGCTCTGTCTTTCTGGTGAGCGCACGCGCCCTATAGCAAAAACCTCTCCAAAAAAAAAAAAAAAAGAAATGTTTTTTCTTCTCTGGAATGTGGATGGAACTATTAATATCTTGTCTTCTTGTACCACTTTTTCCTTTTCTGGCATACACAGTATTTTGCAGGGGAGAGGTTATATTAATACATTTAGCAACACTCTGTCCTTGAATTGAGCTTCAGTGGGCGTTCCAATGGTAGCCAACGCCCAGCCTGAGAACTCCGCACTACCTCCTGTGGAAGCCTGAATCTACCATGCAGCTCTCTCCCTTTCTCCCATAACCATGTCCACCAATGAGAATGCTAATTCACCAGCTGCTCATCCTAAGAGACTGAAGAACAGGAGAAGAGATAGTACAGAATGAGATGATGCAGAATTGAAGTTAATATGGAATTGGGGAAAGCTAAGGAGAATGACCAAATACTGAAAGGGAGACTATAAGCTCATTTCCTGGTGATGCTGCTTCTCCACTGTAGAAGCACAACTCCCAGAGCACTGTAAATTGGTTTGTAGATGTCACTGTCAAAGGTATAAGTGGTAACATATTTTTTTTTAATTTCCTTCAGGACATGTATACTCTCTAGAGAGAGACAGGGGAAAGGGGAGACATGAGAAAGTACTCCCCAGGGGGTAATCAAGCCACAATCCATTTTCCATTCTTCTCTTGGGATTTTGACCACACACACACACCCACACACCCACCACTGGATCTGAGACTCCAACTATTCAGGCTGCCATGTGGAATCCAGCCACCTTTACCACCATACCATCAGTGGCAACAGTTTGGAAAGCCAACTCCCAAGTTACTCAGGCTACTTGGAAGCTACCTTCTACGGAAAAAAACAGTCCCCGATAGGCAGAATAATCTGAGCTGGTTCGATTCCAATGTTTGTGTCCTTGGATGGAAATGATTATTAATCTCATTCAGCTTTAGTTTGCTTTTATGCTCATTAATGTTGCTTCTGGGATGTCAGAATAGACCAAGGCTGTGGTAGATGGAGGTGCTACCCCAGCATTCATTTCTCTGTAGGCATCTCCCCATGTGAGCATCAGTGAACTAGTATCTTAGTGAACAGCATCTTAAGGGAGTTTGACTTTTTGCCTCTTTCAGAAGTGGCTTTGGTGTAAAGTACTTAAGGCATTAATATATGCTAAGGAATAAATAAGATATTTGATGAAAAGTTTAAAATGCTGTTCATGTGGGACCAGCAAATGGTGTAGTGGCTACGTCTCTGGACTCACATGTAGTGAACCATCGTTTGAATCCCGGACCCAACAACTAGGCACATGTGTGTGCATGCCCAAAATCCTGCTAGGAGAATAACGGTGAAGAGATTGTGGTGTGGCCATCCCCTCTAGTGTGTGATTTCTTTTTTTTTGGAGAGTTTTTTTTTTTTTTTTTTTTTAATAGGCGTGTGCGCTCGCCAGACAGACAGAGAGAGACATAGAGCCAGAAAGAGAAATCACCCCCCGGGGGGATGGTCACACCGCAATCCCTTCTCCTCCATTCTCCTCTCAGGATCTTGGGCATGCACACGCACGCGCCTGGCGTGAGTTTTAAGCCACTGGGTCCAGGACACGAACCGCAGTCGACTACGTGGGAGTCCAGCGACATAGCCATTACACTAACTGCTGGTTCCCTGGGGTGTGATTTCTTACTTTCTATCTCTCCAGCGAATACGCATACCCTATAACAAAAATCTCTCTAAAATAAAATAAAATGAAATGCTGTCTATGATTGTAAAAATGAAAAAGTGCTAACTTGAAGAATTTTTAAATTAAAAATTTAATATAAAGCTGCTAAAGGGCCAGCAGGTGATGTAGTGGTTAAGGCTCTGGACTTCCACGTGGCTGACTACAGTTTGAGTCCCAGACCAGGCAGCTTGAAACTCATGCTGGGCATGTGTATGTGTTTGCTCTAAAGCCTGAGAGGAGAATGGAGAAGAATGGATTGCAATATGGCCATCCTCTCCGGGGAATGATTTCTCACTCACTCTCTGTCTTGCTGTCTGTCTCTCTGGTGAGCACATGTGCCTTACAGCAAAAATTTCTCTTAAAAAGAAAAAAAGAATTGCTGAAAAAAATTCTTTGTGTCTTTCATATAGCTAAAAGACCAGCTTCTGGACAAAACGTGGTTTCTGTTGTGCCTGCACAGAAGATTACAAAGCCTGCTGCTAAATATGGAGTACCTTTAACATATAAGAAATATGGAGATAAGAAATTACATGAAAAGAAACCACTGCAAAAGTATAAACAGGTATGATCATGTTACAAACTGTGAATTACTGAAAAAATCATTCTGACTTGATTTTATTGCAGCTGAATTCAGTCATCCTGATACTAATAGGATAGTTTTTATTATTAAGGAACATGGCTGTTCTCTGCTTCACTAGTCTCCTAAAACTAAGAAGCTTTAGAGAAGTCATAAACATTATGTAGATATATTACATGAAAACAAAGCCCTTTAAAAAAATTGATGTAATAAAGCTGATGAGGCCTTCAGATGGCTTAGTGATTAAGGCACTGGACTCCCACGTTGCCAGCCACAGTTGTAGCTCTGGGCCTGGTGACTTGAAAATCACACCAGGTTTTTGTGTGTCCAGAATCCTGAGAGGAGAATTAAAGGAAAGGGATCATGATATGGCCATCCCCACTTAGGAATGATTTCTCACTTTCCCTTTTTCTGTCTCTCTCTCTGTCTTTCTTCATCAAGTACATATGCCCTATGGCAAAAATCTCAAACAAACAAAAAACAATAAAAAGAGATGTTATAAATGAAGTAACTTTTGAACTACCTAAGCAGAACCACTTACTGTTGTATATAAAAGCAGCAGACACTTGTGATATACTTTATTAAAATGGGGGGAAATTTTGTATTTGAGACTTTAAAATAAATAAAAATCATACAGCAGAAAGAAATGTAGTCATTCATAGACTACTCTGTCATATTTCAGATGAAAAAATTAAGGCCTGTAGCATTTAAGTGATAAAGCCATGAATAATATTAGTTGAAGGAATATGACATTTTCTTTATGCTGCTAACTACATACTTTGCTATCTGGGACTTTGTTTTGGACTACATATACACATGCATGCTTAGATACATACATATGTATAAGCACTGCTGTAAGATGATCTTGTAGGAATGACTGGGCACTTTAGTTAAAATCTTTCATGGAATAGTTGAAAATGATTACTGTAACTCAGTCTACAAGGAAGTTGTAATAGCATTGAATCAGGAAATAAAAACCACACACTGATTTGGACAAGGGAAATTTAATATTAGTAATTATTAACTGTTTTCAGAGAATTAGTTTTTCATGGATAAAGAGAGCTCTAAAGAATACAAGAATGGTGAGCCAGCAGTTAGCGTAATGGCTATGTCGCTAGACTCCCATGTAGTCGACCACGGTTCGCGTCCCAGACCCGGTAGCTTAAAACACGCCAGGCGCGTGTGCATGCGTGCCCAAGATTCCGAGAGGAGAATGGAGGAGAAGGGATTGCGGTGTGACCATCCCCCCTGAGGGGTGACTTCTCGCTTTCTGTCTCTATGTCTCTCTCTGTCTGTATGGCGAGTGCACGCACCCTATAGCGAAAACCTCTCAAGAAAAAAAAAAAAAAAGAATACAA